AGTATTATCTTTTACACTGTACATGATTTATGTATAATGTATGTAGAGTGGAAAATGCTCAATATGATTAGGTTGACTTTGAAAGCAATTTCAGCCAAAATACTGCCACTTATTACCATCCTCACAAGAAAATTGTACAATGTGCATGCATACATTTCAAACCTGAAAAACAGGATTGAAACAGGATTGTTTGTTGACACTTGTATTCAAACCTATTTTTCTCATTGAAGATCACATTTAAACCTCATGCATGTTATTTATTTTTTTGGCATTATAATTTAAGTTTCTGAAAATGAAATTTATTTCCGAATAAAAGCATTGAATTAAGCACTGTCTATAAAAATCAACACTTCAGTAGATTAAGACAAATACTGTGTCTCAGAATATTTTGCTTTGTTTTTTCAGTTAAATTACTTTTTTTGTCATAGAAAGCACAATTTCTTTCATTCTAAAATTATCATCCAATATCTGAGACATGTTTCATTACAAGTATCATGTGCCAACATTTCAGATTTAAGGTGACGTAATTTTCTTAATTAGTGAGGTCAAAAAGGTCAGCAAATGCTCATTAACATTGCCTATCTGTTTATGCCATTCATTACGTAGTGTGTGTTCAAATGGTAATAAAACAATGGAATCAACGGATAAGTCTTGTGTAAAAACGCTTTCTGTACAGACTGATTTAGTTATATTCCACAAAGTATGTGTACACTTGTTGAATAACCACATTTATTATGCAAATTGTATGAAAATGCATACATTACACCATCAAAACAATTTTCTCAATTTTTTTTTATTTTTGATTTGGACCTATTTTTTATGAGTTTCATATGAAATAAGATATCAAACATTGTATGAAGATTCAAAAAAGTGTGTAAAAATGTAACATAATGAATTATTTTCAGACCTGAGAGCTCCTCTGATAAGATCAACTTCTTCATACAGTTCACTTCCATTTTTATTCTTCACAATAAGATCTAAATGTTCAAGCATACTCTGGACAGAAGTACCACAAACCACGGCATTTACAAAATCAAAATTTCCAATGGTATGCTGTAAATAGTAAAAACATTAAACTATTATAATAACTATTCTGTTTAGCACAAATCTATTTTCATTTCATAGTACTTTATTTATCCTAGCTATTACACAAAGTTAACTACTGAAATATTATTATTCAATGGCAAATTTAATGGCTGAATTAGAAATGATTAAAATATTGATCACATTATTCATACTGTACGGAGAAATAAATTTGCCGCTAATCAGTGTTAAAGTAAAGAGATGCAATACAGAGAATATTTGAAGTATTTTTGGTGTGTCAATGTGTACTGTAAAATACTTTATTTTCGCTTGGAATTAATTTTTGCTGAGGTAATGATTCAGTGAAAATAAAATCCAGCAAATATACCATTTATTTGACATTCAACTCCCCAAAAATCAGTGAAAATAAATTCCCTACAAAACACTCGAAAAAGGTTTTCAGCGAAAATTAATTCCAGCTAAAATAAAGTATTTTACAGTATATTATTCAGTGTGATACACTAGCCACTCATAGGCTTGTTCAGTTCACAACATGTATGCTTTTAAATTGAATGTATGTATTACCTCAATCAATTCATCATCATTACCAGCATATAAGAGATGATAGGGTAACTCTTGTAATTTCCTCAAATTATAGACTCTGTGAAATCTCAGTGGTTGTGATGACACTTTCCTGTCGGCATTTAACGTCTCTTTCCTCTGCGATAAGTAAATTGCTTACAAGATGTAAATAGTAATGACATGGGAATATACTGGTGATAATTTTGTACTAAGACTTGCTGTAATATTTGATAAAAATACGGTGGATATACTAGTATTATAATAATAATAATAATAATAACTTTATTACACTACTAAAAACCTTCAGAGGGTTTTTGTATGGTAAAGAACATAAAAACATACAATACATAAGAGATAAAAATAAAATGTTAGTAAAATAAAAGAAAAGAAAAAAAAAAAAAAAAAAAAAAAAAATAGTTACGGTACCTTTCTTGTTCCATTGCTCCATTTTCCAAGGAAGAATTCTGCCATAACTTGATGTCTGTCTTGTTTCCCATCACTATGCAAATATTTATTACGAGCAGTCTCAATGAATTGTCTGTCAAATCAATTAAGCAAGCATTGGTGGAAACATGAATCACTTGACAGTTCATACAACCCAAATTCTTGTTTTAAATACGAACAGAATATTATTCATCAGAATTTCAAAAGATATCAAATGGAAAACTAGCACACCTGTGGTAGAGAACCATTACAGTTTTTCCATCAGAATGCCTATTGACAAGGTACTCCTGTAAATCATATTTAAGTCTTGCCAGTAATATTGGTGGAATACGTACAACATGTGGATTTGGTGGTGACCAGTGTTGGTAAACATCATCCAATACTTCATCATCTATGCTTAGAATATCTTCCAACTCTGCTTCTGTCAAACCATGTCTGCAGTTTTTAAAATTGTAACTTTTTAAAAAGGATTTGTACTGTACATGTATTGTAGTTAAGAAAATTAACAATTTCATAATATTCAATTAAAGTAGAACTGGACACTGAAGGCTAAATATTCATGGGGTTCTATAACATTCAAATTATATTGTTTGCTGAGATCACTAGAGAATATACAAAACTTAAAACCAACTTGAGAAAATTGTTAACTGGTTAATTATAGGTCTTGTATGAGGGGGGCAAGGGGAGTAGCTGGTACAGTTTTACGGGAAATAAAAAGGGCTTTTTACAATTACAAGGAAAAAAAGACGTTTTTACAGTTTACAGTGAATTGTGTCATCTAGTCGTTTTACAGTTTTGAAAATGTAATTTCCCTGGATTATTCTTTACGACTTTTTTTATTTGGATGTAAATTCTTGTACGTACCCAGAAAAATGACATATTTTTACAATGTACGAAAAAATATTTGATTGTACGTCTAGCCTGTGATTACAGAATTACGGAATTTATTTTTTTAATTCACGTTGTACAAACAAAAAAATATTGCAATTACGTTGAATGAAAATAACCCTTGCCCCCCCCCCCTCTTGTATTTGTGGAGAAAGGAATATATAGTATGGATCAAGCGTAACTGAACATTTAACTATAATAGTATAAGCAGGCTTCAAGCTAGAGTTTTCATAAAAAGACAAGACCAGCTGATTTCTAGCTTAAAAGTAAAGTTAAAGCCCGGATTGTAATAGATCATGGATTATAATTCATAACACCTCGCTACTCTCACCTGGCACCTGTTATGTATGCTAGTGCATGTGACACCAGCAAATGGCCATGTTCTATCTCCAATCTTTCATATAACTTAGCAATAGCACTTCTTATAGTGTCGCCTAAATTCAAATCAGAAACAGGAGTGTAGGACTTCCAGGCAGGCTTGGTCAAATGCCAACTTGAGGAACAATGGTTGGCGACAAAAAGAAAAAGCTGAATATACAAAACGCAAATATATAAGCATTAATTTTACATTGCATGGTACATGCATAAATAAACTTAAGAAATGTGTAATACAGAGTACTGTTACAATTGCGTATTTGAAGACAGTAACTAGTGTATATAGTGTATATCATGATTACAAGATCTTACTAAAAATAGAACTAACGTTATCATAGAATGTGATACAATGTGTGAAACAAATTTAATGCAGACGTGTGCAGATGATGAAGACATTTTTTCAGCCCCAACTGAGTTACTTTTCTATGATATTCGGTTATCTGTTGTGAATCCCAAGTCATCATGACAATGTCACAACACTTATTAATGCATCTGTCACTATTTACTTATTACCGGTAGTTTGATAAAAATAAGATCCAGTTTGAGCTTTTTAGCTCCGCTGTCGACTTTGTCGAGCGGAGCTTATCATATGAGTGATTGTCCGTCGTCGTCCGTCGTCGTCGTCCGTGTCAATGTTTTACTTTTTCGACTTCTTCTTGAAAACTACAAGCCTGAATGCTTTGATACTTGGTGTATATGTACCTTGGGTAGACCTCTCTTAGGTTTGTTCATTTCATGTTGATATCTTCAATTCTCTAATTTTGGTGAATATTTTTGTCATTTTTGGTAAAAAGGGATATTTTCGACTTCTTGTTAAAAACCACAAGTCCAATTGCTTTGATATTACATATATAGGTACTACATGTGGACCTCTCTCAGATTTGTTCATTTCATGATGATACCTTCAATTCTCCAATTTTGATGAATATTTTTGTCATTTTTGGTAAAAAGTGATATTTTCGACTTCTCGTTAAAAACCACAAGTCCAATTGCTTTGATATTACATATATAGGTACTACATGTGGACCTCTCTCAGATTTGTTCATTTCATGATGATACCTTCAATTCTCCAATTTTGATGAATATTTTTGTCATTTTTGGTAAAAAGTGATATTTTCGACTTCTCATTAAAAACCACAAGTCCAATTGCTTTGATATTACATATATAGGTACTACATGTGGACCATTCTCAAATTTGTTCATTTCATGATATCTTTAATTTTCTAATTTTGGTGAATATTTTTGGTAAAAAGTGATATTTTCTTCTTGTTAAAAACCACAGTCATTTATGGTGAAAAATTATATTTTTGAATTCTTGTTGAAAACAGCAAGTCCCATTGCATTGATACTATACATATTGTTCATTTTCTAATGATATCTTCTGTTCTTTAATTGAAATGTGCATCGCTAACAGCAGAGCTATCTCAGCAGAGAGGCTGCTTGTTTAAATATGGATCTAATTATTTGCTGGTAGTTTCTTTTAAGTTTTGGTAGTCATGAAGGGTTTGAATTGGTCCAAAACAAATACACAATAATGTAACAATCCTTACCTTTCTTGAAGAATTGCTTTTGTTTGCGAGTGACTTTTCTACTGATTCTACTCATCCAGGTCTCAAATATCTCATTTCCTGACTCTTCGTCCAGGGATTTCACAGGGAAGTAATTGGTATCATCTGGCATGCTTTGAACTAAATGCTCCAAGATGTTGTTAACATTCGGCAGAACAGAGACAACAATAGTAACATTAGGAGGACATGTTTTTGGTAGCCAATGGCAACTGAACGATGAATGACTCTCAGATAGTTGGTCTAGCGAGTCAAGCATTATAACTAATGGTCGTCCACGTGGATCATCTGATGCATGCTGGAGGATGGTGGGGAAATAGACAATTAAGTATTGTAACTGTTCCATATCACATCAGATGGCAGGTCAATGCAATATACTTCACAGATCTGTTTGCATATACTTCTCAAAACCTGCATAATGGATGAGCTGTCAGTTGAGATACCAAGAAAACGAAACACAGTCACGCAGTTGTTTCCAAATTGACTGCGTGAATCCATTACTAGTTTGGACATCACAGAAGTTTTGCCAATGCCAGAAACTCCAAAGATCACCAGAGGCTTGTGGTAGCGTATTGCTAGTGGTAGAAGTGTAATTATTGATCGTGTCTAAAAGATCTTGTCTACCACAAAACTGCTAACTTAGCTTGACAGAATTTAACATGATGAGCGAGTTCCCCCAAGAGAGGATCATTATAGATGCTGGTTTTGCTAGAAGGCGACATAACTGCTTTCTGAATCATCATCTTAATATCCTTAACAAATGTTGCACAAAACTGCTGCAAATATTTCTTGTGTTCTTCATTGTTGATATTGACACCTGTACTCTGCCATTCTACATTATAACAGTGTCTAGTCCCTGTAAATCGTGACGGAATATACTGGTTCTTTACATTCTCCAGTAATGTTCTAGATTCTTCATCCTTGTTATGGTTTTCCTCTACATCCATATAACGCTCTGCCATCTCGCTGTCTTCTTTGATTTTGTCTAATTTTCTCATGAAGCAGATGCAATGCTGATTGATGTCAGGAATACTGGTTGCCGCTCGAATTTCCAGTTCTGTAACTGAAAACAGAGAAGATGGAATATAATTACCTGCAGTTTTTGACAGTTGTACCTTTCCTTATTTCATTGAACAAATATGCTACATCTTGCAGCCAAAATAAGGTTTTTATTTCACGATATATCATATCCTATGGAATAACAAAATTATTTACACATGCTCAAAAATATTCATCTAGCCCAGTTACAAAAAAACAAACTCAACTAGCAGTATATTGCAATATAGCTCACTGCTTTATTGAAAAAAACTAACCATTACAAAACATTTAAACTGTCAATATTGCTATTAAAATTAATATTGTTTAAAATAATATTATATTATTTTACACAATAACATCCAACATACCAGACATATAATACTTGTGTTTAGTGTCTTCGTCGATGATTCCCTCCTCCATTGCAAGACTGGCAGATTTCTTGAGAATATTTTTCAATGTTTTACTTGTTTCCAACCACGCATTGTGATCTTTTTCTTTCAAAATTTGATTTCCCTGGTCATTGTCATAGTAATGATCATACTTGATTGTGATTGGTTGAAGTAAGTACTTAGGAGGGATGGCATTTTTATCTTTCCTATACCACTCAGATAACAGTTTTTTATCATCATGTTTATATACACATTTTTGAAGATTGTCAAATTCTTGCTCAATAATCTCAGTTGGAAGTGGTCTGTAACCGTACCGCTGCCCAACCAAGCACTGAAAAGAATATACAAATAGTTTGAAAATATATACAAATAGCTGATTTTTCTTCACTGCAAGATCTTTGGAAATGCATGAAAAATAAAAATAGTTTACACTCAATTTCATTTCTAACACGGGATCTGACAGTGAGCTGCAAAATGATTGTATTCACATTAGATGAATATAATTTACTGTCATCATGTGATTCTATAAATTGTGAAACATTACCATCAAATTGGAATACATAATTTACTAATTGCTAAATGCAGTAATTGGTACGTGTCTAAACCGAGCAAGAGACTGAAAAAGTAGTGAGATTAATTACCATACATGTATTTGCTATTAAAGTAGTACACTAAGCTATGGCTATTAATTAATCCAATATTAGCATCTACTAGTAGCTAATGAAGTCACCAAAGGGAATGGAAAAGTAATAGAGGTGTTTGGTTCACAGAGGTCTTTTACTGTACAAGCAAGTCTAAACTGAGAAGGCATGGATACACAATATTGTAAGTTTCAATTTGCACATATATTATTACTTTAGAAAAAATCAGTTTAATATTCTAAATGGCATTTTTGCAATCATGCTATGTGTATAAGCAAGAAGTAGAGAAACATTTACTTTGAATTCGAGTGACAATGAATTAAAGTACATAGTAGAAATAAAGAGGTCTTGGATGATTTTCAAGCTATATATTGAACAATAAAAACAAGCCCGTGGCCAAAATAAACCCTGTTTTGCTGTGCTGATAAGTAACACAATACAACATGCACATTAGCATAAATAGGGTTTGCATTTCATGTAGTCATAGTATAGGGTGCCTAACAACAGCCTCAACAACAATAAACTGCTGCATGCTCTTTATAATATGCAACACAAAACTATTGATTAATTTACTAAGAATATAGTTATCATATTTATTGAATTGCCACAGCAATTTACTTGATGTGTAATCAAACACAATGATAGGTATGAAGTTACTATAAAATACTTTATTCTAGGTGGAATTAATTTTCGCTTAAAAGACTTTTTAGGTTTTTGTATGGAATTTATTTTCACTGATTTTTGGCGAGTTTAACGTAAAATATAGGAAAAATGGTATACTTGCTGAATTTTATTTTCACTTAATCATTCCTTCAGCGAAAAAAGCAAAAATTAATGCCAAGCGAAAATAAATTATTTTACAGTAATCTATATTGCTTTATTTATACAGTGACAATACATTGTGAATTTAGTTGTCAGCACTGAACACATTTAAAATTGTTTTGTTAGTAAAGTTGATAACTTAGTGCTCTAGCCAAAAAGACATGTATTTTAATAATAATTAAGGTAATAATCTTTGATAATGTAACATGATATTGCATTCTTGCTGACCAAAGCTGCTGCGCATGATACATTTGGTGCATAATTTCATTTTATTTTCAAAAACCAAGTTGTGGTTAAACATTCTATCGTAAATTTACTAAGACAGTTGATTTAATTTGCATTTTAACTATCATGAGTTTTGATCATGGCCGGTACATCTTTAAACACTTTTCCTTCACAACAACAATGCAAAAATATTGCACCATCTATTCACTGTAAGATTGGCAAAAAATCGTGTCTCAGGAACACTTTTATGAGCCTCTGATTCAGACAGATCCCTGACATTTATATAAGCATATGCGCTACTAATAAAGCAAATACGTTTTTTTTTAAAACCTGCATTGTAAGGTCACAATGAACTTACCACAAAGTTAGGACCAGCCGACATTTGTTGACAAGTTTGAATCTCTCGTTGACAAATTGCAACAGTATTATGATCTATAGTTGTCTCTCTGGGTATGCCCCATCTCATATCAACAACTTGAAAATCCAACCCGCGTCTCTGACACCACTGCAACAGTACAGGATATGCATCTTCTAAAAGGATATTTCGCTCTGCTACATAGTCTGCAAAATAATTTGAAAAATTTTGAGCAAAAACTTTCATTGACTTTTTTATTTACTAGTACCTATTCTCTGGCTGTTCTCATTCCTATCTGGTTGATACTAAGCATTTCATGGAATGGAGAAATTATTTTACTTCAGTGTAATTTTTATTTCTCTAATGTTGTATGTAATACATTTGGTTATATAGGTTTTCCCATTCTCTTTTGCATGCTTTGGTAGTACCGGTATATAACTTTCAAAACTTTGACGTAAAATTCTACCCACCTTCAAAAGTAGAACTCAGATAGATTCGCACAATATTAGAAGGTTCTGGGGGAAGATCAAATATCCAGCCTTCAAGGAGCTGTTTCCGAATGTCATCCTCTCGCCGGGCTGCCATGATATGAGAACATCACTACTTTACCAGTTTTGTTAGAGGTTAAGGTACAGCTACATAGACCAAAAGATAAATGAAAATCTTAGTATGTTTATGGTTTTCATGAACATGTCAAACAAGATTTTACCTTATTTCTCTGCCTGAATATTTATTGATAATACCAGTACACAAGATTGTGTTATCATTGATATCACTGATAGTCTTACTCAGGGTAAGACAAATCTCAATTCAGTGCTTCAAACATATTCAGAAATGATGTCAGTAAAAAAGATACACAAGTTTGTTGACACTATTGTCTCTATATACACTGTTTTGAAGTATGTTAAATTATAAGAAAAGCCATAGACCCTCTAAAAGAAAAGCTAAGACAAAAACATGCAAACTGTACAAATTTGTTTTTCTTCACTTAGTTTTTCGTTTCCATGATAAATTTGCTGTAATGTTTTTAGACTACTGGTATGTGGAATCATTTTTATGGATGCAGATTTTTTTCTGTTAATTAACCTGCTGGATTTTTTCTAATTCTTCTCCCCTCCAAGAGTTTCCAATGATCATCCCTTAATATGGAAAACTTTAATAATGAAATGATATTTTTCAAAGATTACTTTGAAAATGGGTTTTGGTTTGTCAAGGATATTTTTACTATTTCGGTAAAAGTCTTTTGAAACTATTGTGAATAGAGGAACAATTGGAAATAACCATGTCAATTGTCTCAGATGGATGGGTTTAATTTCAGCAATCCCTTTATAAATAGTAGGAAATTAAATGCCTTGAATCAACAGATTAGTTATGAACCCATTCGTTTGATGATCCATATATATTGGCACTTGATTACCGGTAATAGAAAAGCCACACATTCCACTGTTAAAAATAAATTATCTGAAAAATATGGCATTTCAAATACTGATTGGAATTCGTTTTACTTATTACCAGGATAAGTGCTGAAAAATATGAGAATCAGTGAATTTCAATATAAAATCTTGAATAATGTTGTTTGTATTAATTCTCTCCTTTATAATGCGGGTAAAGTTGATGCTTTAGTATGTAACTTTTGTGAAATATTTCCAGAGAAAACCGAACAATTACTTTTTTTGTTTCTAATTTTTGGAATGAAGTAATATCTTGGTGAACAACATACATTGCATGTTAAAGATATATTATTTGGAATAATAGGCACATATTCTCAATATCAACCACTTTTGAATAATTTATTATTTCATGCCAAATATTTTATTTATAAATGTAGATACTGTGGAATACTTTATTTTCGCTGAAAGGGCTTTTTGGGCGTTTTGTATGGAACTTATTTTCACTGATTTTTGATGAATTTAATGTGAAATATAGGAAAAAAAGTATATTCGCTGGATTTTATTTTCACTGAATCATCCATTCAGCGAAAATAAATTCCAAGCGAAAATAAAGTATTCTACAGTATTTAAAAAAAAACTTGCTCTTCAGTTATTATTAATTGTTTCAAAAAGAAAAGGTAAACCATACTTTGATAAATTTGTTAAAAAATGGCAACCATATATTTTATATTTTGAATAGATGTTATCACACCTCTTACCTTTTCTGTATCTTTATATGATCTTTTTTTTTTAATAATGTAACTTGTACTTTTGTATTGTCTTGTTGAAAAAAAAATATGGAAAAACTTTACTGGTCAATTCAACTATAGCAGAAAACCAATTTCTACTACTCCCTCCAGTTTTTGATTGGGTATCATAAATTTAACAATTCTTAAAACTGAATGTAAACAGACTTTGGGTGAAGTGTTCATTTTGCCTACACAGTTCGAGCATTACCCTTCCAAGTACCACCAGTACTTCTTGTGAAGAGAAGTATTGCATCTTTATTCAAGCGCTACAGACATCGTAAAAACAAGCAATATATTTTACAAACATTGTATAACCTATATGGCTGCCACATTGAACACAATACAGAGCGATGACTGTAGTGCTTTAAGAAATGATTTACTACTTGTACTGTAAGGGGGAACCCAATTAAGTGGGAGCTGGAGGATTTAAGAAAAAAAAAAGATCATGATGTTGGCTGAAATCTGGGGCTGCAATCAAAAACAAAAAATCCACAGGCTCAATAAGTAAGAAAAAAAAAATAAACAAAAAAAAATCGTATTGTGAAATGAACTAATGTTCAGACATGCTGTCAAAAAAGTGTGTAAAAAAGTATACAATTGACCAATTTCCTCAAGTTCCCTACCCAGATTTCAAATGAGTAAAGATTCCGGGAGTTTCCAACCAAATATATATATATATTTTTTTACCTGTATTTTTTTTTTTCAATCTTTGCATTTAGTACAGTCCTGAGACTTTTTTAATGTCTATGCTACAGTTAACTACTATTCGTTGGGGAAAATATTTAACAACTACGCTGACGAAATAAAAAACTAAACTAAACGCCAGCTTGTTTTTTAAAAAATCAGCAGAATTGAAAAGAAAAAGCCTCACCTGTATGTAGACATTAATAATAGCTGCAAGTTAACCCACTTCCAGTATGCGTGTGTAACCAAGGAGAGATCATTGTAACGGGTCACTTTAGTTGCGTTGCCGGAAAATGTCATTCCGACGACCTTAATAGACGGACAATAGCTTCACACAAATGCAAACAATAGACACCATTCAGAACTATTTTCACAAATAGACTCCTCGTCAATATTTTGGAAAACATTGTACGCGATAACTTTGCAAACTCGCTAATTCAACTTCATTTAAAACGCGATGTCTGTCCTCTGAAAAAATTGTCAAAACGTTTAATTGGCGCAAATTTAATTAAAACAAACAGGCTAGGCTGCGCTGTCGAAAAGTAACACTTCAGGCAATCACAGGACCTAACAGATTAATTTTACGAATTCATTAAACATAGAATTCTAGATTTAACATTATTTATATAATTATGATGAAATATGAGTCGCCTTTTTATATGAAACGCTTTCAATTATTTTTTGTATTAAAGATAGGGTTATATCAATAAAATAATGTTGTTAATCCAGGTATCCCTATACTTATGACGTCTAGGTCAAAGGTTGCCAACCGGCATGATGTCAAAGGTTGTTCAACATGCGCATTCAGTACTGTTCGGTTCGCCATTTTAGTTGGGTAAGTTGCAGTCGAACCGAGCTTGTCGAACTGGCATATCGATTCCGAAGAAACAGTAAATTGAATTACGAGTTCGGCTACAGGCCACCGAAATGGAGGCGCTGATACCTGTTATAAACAAGTTGCAAGACGTGTTTAACACAGTAGGCTCAGACAGTATACAATTACCACAGATCATCGTGGTCGGCGCTCAGGTAAGGTCCCTTCTTGGAACAAAAAATAAACTCGTATGCACTATCGGAAATTGTCAGTAACACGCTGCGGTCATGATACTTAGTTCTTGAAGTTGTGATATTCATGATCAAAATATTCTTTCTGTTGGTCACCGATATTGCAATGCCAATGGAATTTATGAATCAAGATAATAGGAAGTTGTCATCTGATCTTGCACTGACGTTCAAAAATGGGTCCCATCCCGGGAAATTCTGGGTTTTGGCCGTTACTGCCAAGAATAATTGTAGAGAATAATTTATTCATACATATTTTCAATATTTAAAAATTTAAGAAATGGTTATTTGTTTACAACTTGGTCAATCAACTGCGAATTTATTGCATACTAAAAATAGACATGATCTTTTTTTTTATTGTCCATTGTCGTATATGAGCTGAGAATGATGACACATTTGTGTACCATTACTTTTTAAACTCTTTCATGATTTCCATGTTGTGTATAATTATGATATGTTTTTAATTAATGTTAACTCCTAAAGTCCACATGTGTGATACTGGTGTGTTTGATATTGATTCAATACAGACTTACAGTGTTTACTAGGTGGTGTCACACATAATATTAATAAAATAAATAAATGTGATTAATTTACTGTTATTTACTATATGGGGCCAGCCATCATGAATATGGCTTGAAGCTGACAATGGAGACAAGTTGAGAAACAATACCGAGCTTTCACAGCCAAAAGATTCATTGTTTTGGTTGAATTTGTTCCTTTTGTGTGGAAAAATTTCAAGTACATGTATATAAGCAGCTCATTACATGAAGAACCTGGAACACTTTTCCAGAGTATTTGAAACTGAAATAAGCATTCAACGTAAGGAGCCAACTGGCGACAGTCTTACAGTTTAATGATAATTTTTGTTTCAAATACGCCTTAGTATGTAAAAGACACAAAATAGTCATACAAGTCATGTATCGATACTCTACATTAATTTTTTTCACCACTAGGAGAACGCAACTGTTTTAAACTGGTGACATATCTTCAGAAATGCTAAAACAAAACAAAAAATATTTAATGACGTGGTTTGTACTTTTAGAAAAAATTGAGACTACCGGTACTATGATGATGAAGTAGAAAATTGTAAAATAAAAAATAAATAATTGGAGTAGTAGTAGTGAAAGTTACAAAATTTGACAATTTAAGTTTATACTTGTTTTGCATTTACAGAGTAGTGGAAAGAGTTCAGTGTTGGAGAATCTTGTTGGAAGAGACTTTCTTCCGAGAGGTATGTATACTGATTGATTCGGCTCATTTAATAGAAGTATCATACATTTTTAGCTCCGCTGTCGACTTTGTCGAGCGGAGCTTATCATATGAGTGATTGTCCATCGTCGTCCGTGTCAATGTTTTACTTTTTCGACTTCTTCTTGAAAACTACAAGCCTGAATGCTTTGATACTTGGTGTATATGTACCTTGGGTAGACCTCTCTCAGATTTGTTCATTTCATGATCATATCTTCAATTCTCTAATTTTGGTGAATATTTTTGTCATTTTTGGTAAAAAGTGATATTTTCAACTTCTTGTTAAAAACCGCAAGTCCAATTGCTTTGATATTACATATATAGGTACTACATGTGAGCCTCTCTCAGATTTATTCATTTTGTAATGATATCTTTAATTCTCTAATTTTGGTGAATATTTTTGTCATTTTTGGTAAAAAGTGATATTTTCTTCTTGTTAAAAACCACAATCATTTATGGTGAAAAATGATATTTTTGAATTCTTGTTGAAAACAGCAAGTCCCATTGCATTGATACTATACATATTGTTCATTTTCTAATGATATCTTCTGTTCTTTAATTGAAATGTGCATTGCTAACAGCGGAGCTATCTCAGCCGAGAGGCTGCTTGTTTTTTAAATGTTGCTACTTAAACTGTTAGTCTGCCTCAAATACCATTCATGATGGAAAATTATTCCTATAGCACTTTTGCAAATCATCAAATTGTTCATCAGAAAATATTATGCGCAAAACATTTGTTGCACTTAACTACGGTAATTGTGTTATCTTGAGACAATGGAATTTTAGAACTTTGCTTCTCCAATTATCTACTTCTTCATTACTTAACATATTAATAAATCTTGTGCAAGTTTTATATGTTTTACATCCAATAAATCAAATATACTGTGCACCATTACTGGTAGTCTGATGGTTAGCACTTGGTTCGCATCTTTGAGTTTCAATAATACAGTTCATTTCTTCTTGTCTCAAATCTCACTGTTGTGATTTCACATTGTTAGGTAGCGGTATTGTGACAAGAAGACCTCTTGTTCTGCAGCTAGTACACATTGATCCTGAAGACAGGAAAATAGGAGAGGAAGGTAAACCAACTGGTTTATATTTGTAAAACTGAAAATTATTATACACATGTCTGAACCTAGTTTCAATGCCAAACTTCACCAAGCTGTTTTAGTATACACATGTATGTCAATCATATGGGGAACATCTGTATTTTCCCAATGACAGACTAATTGATAGTCTCCATAAAGTTCAAGCCAGCTTGTATTATGATTTTGATTGTACTGTTGATTGTAGTGTATCTTACAAATTTTATGAACTGTTTTGAACAGTTGGCTTTCAAATCTTGCTGGCATCGATTTGTGGTCACATCCACTTTGGGCGAGTCTTTATGCATTAGGGGACATAGAATGCTTTTATGTAGCCTGATACTTGGCTGAATTCCTCCGAACTATTTGCTTTATTACACAAGGCATGATAATGTAACAAGGAGTTTTCCAGGTCAGCCTGAAAATGGCCATAGTCAGCTAGTGTAAAGTGATATTATGATATTAAATGCGATTAATCTATCGATATTTACTATATGGGGTAGCCATTGTGAACACTGTATGAAACTAAATATAGAGTCAAGTTGAAAAACAGTTTCCTACAAATCAGGGAGAAAATAACAAACTTTCACATCCAAACGATCTCTTAGGGTAGCATAAAGCCAATCACTAAAAAAA